TCACCACGATCCTATTCATCTCCCCTCACACTCTCTCTACCCACTACCACACTCTGTCTACTCACTACAAACAGAATCTGTGTTGTCCTCTTATGAATGAGTAGATGCCTATTTCAGGACTCCCCACACATAAATGTAAACCTCCTTGCAGGAATTAAGCTATTCTAAACAGTCACTGTGTACTCCACATTGACAGCTAAACCTTTGACTATGGACCCCAAGAAGTTGGAATTTCCTCATAATAGGAGAGGAAAGGCTAAGGAAGCCTAGCTCTAACAAGAGGAAAAACTGGTCTTCATTTCTGAAAAGGTGTCAGACTGTCACATAGGTAAGACAAGAAACTGGTGATTATGGGTAGGCTATGATTGCTTAGGGCCCAGATTGAATAAATACCTCTGGCCCCCTATTTAAACCTAAACACCATAGGACCTGGAAGGTGGACTTGGGTAGGAATTGGCCTATGAAGGTCAGATGCAGAACCTAGACTGTTACAGCCTTCAGGGCCTGGGTTCTTACCCACTGATAACTCCAGGAACAAGAAGAGCCTTAGGCTATCAGGGTAGTTTTGTCCTTCTATGTAGGGGCATACTTTCACATTCAAGCATCATACTAGACTCATTTCTGACTGTTTGCAAGAGCTTTAGTTTCGATCAATATGAAAGGAAGAAAAAAATGCATTGTAGTCACCCCCAAGAAACTCCAGAGTAAGCAATAGAGGATGCAGAGTAAATCTGCTGCTCTACAGAATGAAAATCCTCTTTCCTTGAACTTCACCCAAGGACTCAGATGTGATGTGCTTTACTGTGTCTTTCTAAAACAATGATCACTTCACGGAGTCCCCCTGCCAGTAAGATGTCAACTAGTTCCTCTTTGTCACAGACTTCAGTGCCCAAATTGCTCAGCCATGATCCTGACATGTCCCTTCTCTTCTCCAAGTAAGTACGTAGATGGAAGTTTCTGTCCTACCCCATCCTGCAGCTGTTCAGTCCCAAATAAACACACAGAGGCTTATTTCTCAGGCTTATTACTAACAGATTCTTGCAGCTGAAGTTAACCCATAATTCTTATCTATGCTTAACCATGTGGCTCGATACATTTTCTCAGTATGGCATTGGCATCTTACTTCCTCTGCATCTGCCTGTTGACTGTGTCTCTGCCTTTCCTCGTCCCAGAATTCTCCTAGTCTCATAGCCCTGCCTATACTTCCTGCCTGGCTACTGGGCACTCAGCGTTTTATCAAACCAATACAAGTGACAAATCTTTACAGTGAACAAGAACATTATCCCATGTCATAAGTGTGACTGGGATGCATTATGTGAAATCCCCAAATAATCAATAAAAATATTATTTTGAAAAAAAAAAAAGAAAAAAGAAAGCAAGAGCAAAAAGAAGGAAGATAGAGAGGGTGGGGGACGATGGCCTCATTTACACCATTATAAAAGCCTGGCTGGGTGTGGTGGGGGCAAGCCTTCAGTTCTAGTGCTCAGAAGGCAGAAGCAGCTAGATCTGTGTGATCCCAAAGCCAACCTGGTCTACGTAGTAAGACTTTATCTCAGAACAAAGAAAGAAAGAAGCCTTTTGACTTTCAAATATATATCCTCCTGCCTACATCTCAAGAATCAGAAAGGGTGTGGCATGCTGTACTCAGACTTTCCTCACTCAGTTGCAAGGGATACTCGTTTATTGAATTATTTCCCTTTCATTTCTCTTTCTACTTAGTGAAGTCATTCTTGACTGAATTAAGTTTTCATGTGCTTCACTAGCAAATGCTTTTTTCTATATCTAAGAGTTCCTGGGGAAAATGTTTATCTGCAAAGGCTGTTTGGCTGATAAAAACTGTGGATAGGGAGAGGTTAGAATGTCAGGAATCCAGAGTCTGAGTACAATTTATATGGGGCTAGATCTGGCCCCCAAATTTTCATTCCTTGTCTTCTCTACCCCATGTTAATCACACATCTCATTACTAAAAGAACATCTTGCCATACTAACAAAAATCCCTTAAAATATATTAATTTAACAAGCCATAGTCCTACCAAGCAAAGGGCTAAGAATGTTCTTTTCTAGGCAAACATATCTTTATCCAACTCTTCAGCTTGCTGAGATTTGATGATCCTGTCCCCAACACGACACTCAAACCCTTGTGTTTCTCTGCATTCTTACCTTTGTCACCATGGAGGGAGACAAAATTTTCCTTTCGAAGATTTGGTGATTTTAATCTCTACCCAAACAAACTATTTTACAGACTATTATCATTGGTCTTAGTTGTCAGTTTGGCTGGGTTAATAGATGTCTAGGGCTGTGTGTGTTGAGAGTGATTCCAGAGACAGGTCTGATGAGCAGGACAGTGACTAGATGGTGAAGGGAGACCCATTCTGAATGTGGGCAGCACCTTCCAGTGAGCTGGTGGCCTGGATGAATACAAACCATGAAGAGCAGTAGAGTGAGCAAAGCCCTTCCTTTTTGATGTCTACACAGGCCTGCCGTCACATGCTCACGTTAGACTCCAACTTCCTAAGCCTTTAAACACAGGCTCTGGTGTCCAGGCCTTCAGAAAAGTCTCATCATAATCATCAAAGACCTGAAGAAAACTACAAATCATCAATTTATTTAAAGATGTAAAATAATGTAGATAAGCTGGGCATGGTAGTACAGGTCTGTAATCCCAGACGTTTGAGGTTGAGACTGGAGGATTGTATGTTTAAGGCCTGCCTGACCTACAGAATAAGTTCAAGGTTATCCTGGTCAACTTTGTGAGATCATTTCTCAAAAATAAAAGTTGAGAGATGGGAATCAAAGTTTTCATTGTACGCATTTTTCTTCCCTGGCAGGCTCTTTGCTATTCTTGGCATGGTATTTCTTAAATAACACTTCTTGTTTTGAAAGATACTGCTGTTTTAATGTGATGCAAAACACTATTCTCATAGGGAGGGGAAAAAGCACAGATTTCAATGGAAATGAACATAAAAAGTTACAGAAACAGGATGTCTAGGTGCTTGGGGCTGTGGGTTAGAAAGTTACATGAAGGCTTTCATTTCCTTCCGAGCCAAACCAAGGGCCTACCTAGATGAACTATGAGACATAAGGGTACAGACAGAGAAGTGATATTTGGATGTGTATCAAAAGGAATGCAGAAGTTACCAGAAAAAGACTGACCTTAATGCTAGGTGTCCCAGGAGATACTAAAGACTGAGAACCTCCCTCTGATGAGCGGAGCTGTGAGTTCCTTGTCCAGCATCGTTCAGCAGTGTAGGCATTGAGAAGAAATCATGTAATTTCATTTTAAAAATTGGTATAAAAGTAATTTAAAAGGGATTAAGAACTTGAAACCAATAATGAAAGTGACTGAGATGATTGATGAGGTGATTGACATAGGTCTTCGGTTGAAGAAAGAAATAAATTGCAGCCTTTTTAATGTGCATCAACTGCTTGTTCAAATCTGTATCATATTGAACATTGAAAAGTCAAGGATATTGAGTGGGGCAGAGTGGTACACTTCTGTAATCCCAGCACTTAATCCTGGCTCTTAATTGGCAGAGTTAGGCAGGAAGTTGGCCTCCATAGGAACTTGGGGACTACCCTAGTCTATACAACAAAGTACCATCTCAAAAGAAAAAAAAGGGGGGGATAAATTAAAGAGAATTTTGTGGAATTCACAATGACTAGATGGCTTATTTGGTGGTAAAAATAGGCCACCTTAGGTGCTGGTAACAAGTTACACGTGTCAGCAGCTTCCCAGGGCATTCTGATCAGTGATTTCGGAGTTCTGATCACTAGCAGGTTACACTCACATACGATGCTTTCCCCTCTGGGCTTCAGTGAACGTTGCAAGAATGTATTTAATGAGGTGCAGCATGAACCAGTGGTTCCCTGGATCTGATCTTCTCCCCCAGAGAATCCCAGCTAGTCGCCTACAAAACAAGCCATGTTCTCAAATACTCCCTGCAGAGCATGTTCTGAAGAATCACTTAGATTTTTTTTTTGGGGGGGGGCTGTTTATCTCAATTAAGACACATTTATTGATAAAATAAAGTCATTGTAGCTATGGCTTTACAATAGCATAGCAGACAGCCAAAAGGACAGACCAGGACAGGCTGCTGAAGAGCGGGTAACACACAACAGGAGGAATGAGATGTAACAGACACATACTTTACAACTCACGCCTTTGGTGTTTGTGTTCTTTGTTGTGCACAATGATGTCTAATTTACAGATGAGAAAATCCTTCTTCCAAGATTTCAGTAACTTTCCTAGGTAGTTTTTTCCTAGGGTACATCTCACTTCTTTGAGTGCAATGAAGGTATTTTAACTTGACCCTACTCACTCTTCAGGGTGGTACTATGGAAGGTTCCAAGCTTAGGGTAGCATTTAGTTACCGTGAGCACTGGAGACGTGATAATGCGTTCTCAACCGTATCACCACTAGGTGGCAGTCAGGGCCCCCTGACAGCCGGGTGGAATCACTAGATTTCACATGGTGGAGATTTTTAAGTACTTAAAACAGGAAGGAAAGAAGCAAAGCAATGCCTTCTTTTGGAGTCTAAAAAAGGGTGCACGCACAAGCTTCTGTGTGTGTGTGTGTGTGTGTGTGTGTGTGTGTGTGTTGGCAGGACGAGGCTGTAGGACCACTGTTGCTTTCTAGGCCATGTTTCACACTTGTATGTAGGACCGAAGTGATAGAAAGATTTTGACATGTGACACATACTGTATTATAGTCTCTCCACTCTCATCAGCATCCCCATCCCTGCAATCTACAAGTCAAGGCGGGGGTATTATGTGATGTTCAGCATAGCAGTGGTTGTTCCCTAGAAGGAAAGATACATGTGTTTGGTACACTGATGTCAGTGGCTGTGTTTGCACTGTGTTTCCCTTCAAGATTACCACAGTCAAACAGAAGAGCAATTTGCAATATCATTTGGTAAAAGGAACTTTATATTCATGTCATAGTTGAAGGAATTCAGGACATCTTAATGGTCTCTTGCTTTGGAAGTAATTAATATAGTTGCAAGCTTTGTCCATTGGATAAGGAGTTAGAATTCCAATTAGAAAACTGTGTGTTAGAAAAAGTGTATCTTTGTAAATGGAGAGTGAGAGCCTACCTTGTTGACAGAACTATGCCCAGATGTTATCCTGAACCTTTCAGAGTGGTACAAAAGAAGACTTCCTATTTATCTGGGGGCTCTAAGGATGTCTCAGTTATTAGGAATCCCATCAAAGTTGTCATCAGTGTGAGGGGGTTTCTATCTGAGGAGAATCCCTCCCTGTGGGAGGCAGCTGCTTTTCCTCTGGCACTGAGGGTAAGTCGGGAGCTTTCTGCCCACACCTTGCCACTGTGAAGCGACTCATGCCAAGAGCTTCCTCGTAGCCTGGAAGTGCGTCCAGAGAGGAGGGCAGCTGGCCCAGGGAGCTGTGTGCGTGAGTCACTGCAAGTATTCTCCGAGCTGCAGGGCCAAACACAGACTGAAGAGCTGTGGGGGGAAGAAGACAGTTGGTGTAGAGATAATGACATGTAAAGGTAATGAGAGTTACATCATACCTAACATTTCTTTTTCTTTAACCTATTTGCACACTCATTGTCACAACTGGTGACAAAGTTTACAAAAATCCCTTAAAGATTACTTACCTTCCCTGCTTTCCCTGATGTCTGAATAATCTGAGTTGCCTTTCCATAGTTTATCCCTTCTTCCAGGTTTCCCCGCTTTGCTACGCTAGGAATCAAGCCTGCATCCTCACACCAGCTAGGCAAGCCTTCCCATTTAGATCCCTTTGCACTGTCCTAGCCTCCCAATATTACAATCCCACTTTTTTTTTTTTTTTTTTTTTTTTTTTTTGAGACAGGGTTTCTTTGTGTAGCTCTGCCTATCCTGGAACTAATTCTATAGACCAGGCTGGCCTAGAACTCACAGAGAACTGCCTGCTTCTGCTTCTTGGGTGCTGGGAGTAAAGGTATGAGCTACCACCACAGGACACAAACCTCTTTGAGATACTTATTTCTACCATATTTGTCATTCGTTAGTCACAGATTATGTTGCTCTTATTTATGGTATATGCCACAGTATCTTATGCTCTGTTGTTCTAACTTGATTTTGCTCCTTGGTTTTAGGAAAGAATAATTTCACAAAGAATAGAGGAAGAGCTGGGCATGGTGGAGCATGCCTTTAACCTTGATACTCAGGAGATCAGAGGTAGGTGATTCTCTGAGTTCGGAAACAGCCTTGTCTATATAGGGCATTCCAGGACTACATAGAATGACCCTGATTCAAAATATAAACAAACAAACAGAACAGAACAGAAGAAGGTAAAGTCTTATCACAGTCATCAGAGACATTGGGGCTAAAATTTAACATAGCGAGGTTTGAGGAATAACCAACTGAAAGTGTAAACCACCAGTTTACATAAAAAATATAGTATAAACCAGACCAGGTGGTGCAAGTCTGTAATCCCAACAATTTTAGAGGCTGAGGCAGGAGGATTATATGCTTAAGGCCTGCCTGACCTACAATGTAAATTCAAAGATAACCAGGTTAATTTAGCACAACCATTTCTTGAAATAAAAACAATTTAAGAGTCTAGGAGATCTCATCAGTAACATGTTTGTCCAGCCCTGTGTTCCAGCTGTGTTCCAGTCCCAGCATCACAAAAAAAATGCAAGAAAGAGAATGTAGCTGGGTGGTAGTACACACTATAATTCCAGCAGTCCTGAGGGAAGTAGGAGGATGAGGAGCCAGACTAAGTTACATGAGACCCTACTGAAAGAAAGAGAAAGGAAGGAAAGAAGGATGGAAGGAAGGGAGGAAGGAAGGAAGCCATGTAAACTTTACTTTGCTCATCAACTTATCATCAGCCAAAAACTTGAGAATACAGAGGTCAGTGACAGCCCAGGTCACCACACAATGGGTTTCTAGAAATTAAAATTACTCTGAATTCCCAACACTCAATGCTAGTTGGCGGTTCGCCGTACACCCCATTCTTTTTAGTATTTTAGTGCTTAGTACTTGTGAGCCCCCCTTTCTTGGTGCTCTAATTTGAGTGCACTCACACGTGATGGTACTCTGCAGAGTGCTGTCGTGGTCAAAAGCAATGACGGTCACTTCGTAGGGTGGCGGGGTCCCATCTTCCCCATTTTCTGGACGGCTCAGACAGCAGCAGAAGCACACTGAAGTCAGGCCGCACAGGAGAAGCAATGCACCAACCACCACCAGCAACCTGCAAGAGCCCACCCGTCAAGTCCAAGCTGTGGTCATCTGCTTTCCCAGCTCTGATGATGTAACTACCCCTTAATGTCTGACCTTGATTGTTCATCTTTTTTAGACCACTAAAAGGGCTCTGATCACTGGGGTTTCCTTTCGCATGTATCACTCATTAATTTTCAGCAGGACTACATTAGTTATGAGAGCAAACAATACTGAAGATAGTTTGAAGGGGTTGCTTCTCACCTTACTGTGCAGAAGTATTTCTTAAGCACATGCTGGGGGAAAGACACTATAATCTCTTGACTTTGGCTGAAGAGATTGCATTGAAATAGGAAATCATGGTGTATTGTCACATAGGTTAGGGATGGGCTAGGGAAACCTTTCTGTGAAATACACCTTTGTTTTTATTCATACTAATAATTAGCATACAAAAAACTTAAAAAAAATGCACTCAAAAAAGGAAGTCTCTTGGAAGACATTATATAACTCAGACTTACCATATATACCAAAGGTGCACCCAGTCGGTGGACAGGCAACTGTGGAGACAGAATGGAAGTTATTATATTAAAAAATCAATAGTGTGAGCTGCAACAATCGTTTGTTACATTTAAACATATCAAGACCTCTTTTTTTTTTTTTTTTTTTTTTTTTTTTTTAAAGAAAGCTCTCACTTTGTAGCCTTGGCTGGCCTGGAACTCACTTTGTAGATCAGACTGTCTTTGAAATGACAGAGACCCACCCACCTCTCCACCTCCCCAGCACTGGGATTAAAGGCATGTGCCACCATGCTCAGCTAAGACATACTTTTTATGAAGTTTAATGTAAGCAATTGAATAGAGGTTTATATATAAAAAGGTAGCATTGCTGTGCAGATCATTTTGTTAGTCACTAAAGACTGCATTAAAAAGAGTGGCTGTGGAAAGAGTCAAGGGAAAGGAGGACCTCAAATGGAGAAGAGAAACAATTGGCGAATTTTGTTTGAAAAATGCTGTGATGCAACCTTATTCTTTCCAAACTGGTATAAAAGAAAAGGAAAAGAAAATGTCCTCGGGGCTATTGTGAGCTGCTAAATGGAAATTGTCAAAGAAGAATTTGGCACACCTTTTTTTTAAAGAAGTGGCTTTGCAAAGAGACATGAACATTAAATTCATACGCATGTGGGGCCAATAAAATGTACACATCAGGAAAAGGTCAGTTAAAGGCACAAAAGAAGTTGCATTTGTAATTTATATTTCACAAGTTCTTGCAACATCCTCCCCTAAGAAGGGCCTACACATTCACGTCTCAGATCAGAACTGGTGGGGACATGCACTGAGACAAAACAGGAAGGGAGAAGAGGGAGGGGCTTCACGCAAGGACAGCTCATGAGCTTCAGCAGTTGTAAACTTTCTCTGTAGTTTACAGAGAAACTCTAGTTTACAGGGGACAGCGTGGGAGAGACTAAAACCGAGAGTCAGACGTGGAGAGAGGAGCGTGTGTGCCTTTAGAGCTGTACATGTTTTGTCATTAAATAATAATAATTAAAAGACCACTTCCTACTAAATGCATATTGAGATCTATTCTTGCATTCCATATTTGGTCACACTCCCTTGGAAACTGCAGTTCTCATTTTCCCTGGAGCAGTGTATCATCTTGCTTCTCACGTTCATCATTTGTTCAAAGCCTTTCATTTCTACTTTGGATTTTGTATGGTGACAGATGTCCATCCACATCCTCAAGGCCACGTAACCAACATCAAATACACACATACCAAGTAACTACAGTCATCTTTAACTGCTTAATTCCCCTCATATCTGATAGAGTTGGCTTGAGGAAGTGATTCCACAGTGGAATATGTGTTTTTCTTTAGCATGAATAGGATTTTTACTGTCTGTCCTCAATTGACACTAAGGATTTTGAAGTGGGCATGCTACTATGGGGATCACCCAAACAGATAAGCCAGTGACGGGCTGTTGAATCCAGTCTGCCCTGATGAGTCACCGGAAAGCACGGCTAAGGAAGCCATTTACAGGTCTCCTTGACTACATGTATTTAAACTAATTTTGCTAGACTGATGGGAAGGCTCACACACACACACAAAAAAATTTGCTATTGTTATTGGCCGGGTTATTCTGAGCACTTCAGATGACATACATGTCTGGGCGGGTAGGTGGTGCCCACTGAAGTGGAAAAGGAAGTCAGAGCTATGTGCTGATGTTTTAGCCCATGTCTGGGTGCTGGTGCTTCGTCTGACTCTCCTTCCTCCAGGCTTGAACTCTCAGACACTTACTGTTCAGCATTGACACAGTTCTCCTGGCATCCAGCTCCAGGAAGCTGTGGGAAGGGAATAACCTCAGTCAGGGAAATAGTCACATCTGCAGCATTCAGCAGCCTGACAATCATCCCTCAGGGCTGCATTCAGTCAGACTGACTTATAGATATGAGGGCAGGGCCATAGGGTTGGTCTGTACTGGGCTGTGACAGTGATCATTCCTTTACCCATGACTACTTCTCGTAAGGCACGGCTCTTGGCAGGGCAGAGATCTTGGGGTTTGGATAGTGGCTGAACTTGGGGAATGATGGACAGCCTTCTATATCAGTTTGTCACCCCAGAAGTCTCCTGACCCATCCCCTGGGACACTGTGATTGTCTTCCTTGTCCCTCCCCAGTTGAAAATTTAATCCAGCCTTCAATATAGCAAAAGTAATCACACAAGAAGAGTAAGGGAGGAACAAGACGTTACAAAGAAAGAAGGGGGGAAAAGAGAGGGGAAAGAGGGAGACGAGAGCACACACGAGAACACGCACTTTCGCATATCAGTTAACCTGTGTGGGAAGCCAAGCAGACAGCCTTCTGCTTGCATAGGAATGCGATCCAGTCTAGTTTCTGCACTGTTTCGCTCACCGCTACACCTCCTAGCTATGTGAACTTGTCCCTGGTATTTGTACAGAATCCCTCAGTCCGTCCATTCCTTTCTCAGCTAATGGGTGACTCACAGGCATCTCTTTCACCTTGGTGTAAAACAAAGGGTTTTAAATATTAAAATAGAGTTAAAGAGTCCTTTGGTGCTGGTGTGATGGCTCAGTGGGGAAAGTACCTGCTGTGCAAGTGTGAGGACCCGAGTTTCAATCTCAGCATCCTTGTCAAAGCCGGGCGTAGCAGCAGCATGCACCACCCCTGATTGTCCCAACGTCTGTCCCTCTTTCCATCGGCATTGTCCATCCACACAGCCACACACTGTGTGCACCATCTTTGAGATTCCCTGTGCTAAGTGTACAGTGTATGGTACTCGTCCCTGACTACATCTGTTCATTACTCCATCCATCTCCTCCCAGAGTTGGTATAGCTAAAGAAATAAGCAAAAGAAAGGCCCTTCTCATTTTTTTTCCACAACTGAACTCACCTGGATGAAATAAACCAGGACAGAGGCCATCACCACTCGACTCTGGGCTGCCATTAGGCTGAACACCTGGTCCAGAGGATCAGGCCAGGTGCGTGTGCTGCGTCCTATCCATGCTCAGTGCCACGTAGACCTGCATGGTCCAGAATTCCTAAAGAGAAAACTTTTCCCAGCAGTAAACCAATATCCCTCTCCCTTTACTCCCCTTGCCGTTAAATTTCAGGATTTCTCTCTCCTCTTCCCTTTCAGCTTCCTTCGCTTTCTCTATTTCTCTTTACGTGGTCTCCACATCCGTTTCTTCTTCCGTTCCTTTCGATTAGCAAACCTTTCTGTGTATTTAATCTTTCTCCCTCTGTCACTAATGGAAAGGCATTAAAGGACACATTTGTCCTCTGAATTAGATGCCCCCCCCCAAGTCTATAGCAAGAGACTGGGATGTGAAATAGGTCAAAGGCAGCTTTCGAGTGACCAGATCTGTTCTAATGTTTATCAGGTAACTGGTTACACTCTTGGCTCCTGGATGACCGCGGTAGTCTGAAGGTCACTCTGCCGATCTCCCTCCACCCCCTCTCCATGTGATTGGCATCCCCTTTCTTGCTCCTTGAAGCCCTCCCCTCACTGTGTTGATAATCAACCCTGCTAGTTATGGGTCATTTGTTGCAACCACTGGGCAGGACCGAGGGATTCCAAATGAGCCAGAAAGCCATCCCATCTTTAGAGTAGGAGATGGGTTTAAAAACTAGACCCCCGCCCCCCGCTGGCTGGGTGCTATCAATCTTCTCAGCCCCTATTCTACTTCAGTTTCTATCCCATTGAAGAAGTTTAGACACACAGACATAGTTTTAAAAACTGGTTTCCAGGATAACCCCCTCTGTTTCTCTGTCTCTCTTGGTACCTGCCCCTCTCAACTTGATGTTGCCACTTAAGAATCAGACATAGTCCTTCCCCAATAAGGAGACTGACAACTACCTTGTATGCCATTCTAGAGCCTTCATCTAGTAGCTGATAGAAGCAGAAGCAGACACCCACAGCTGAACACTGAGATGAACTCCTGGGATCCAGTTGCAGAGAGGAAGGAGTGATAAGCAAAGGGGTCAAGACCAGACTGGGGAAACCCACAGAGACAGCTGACCTAAACAAAAAGAAACTGCTGACCTGAACAAGGGGGAGCTCACAGACCCCAGACTGATAGCTGGAAAACCAGCATAGAACCAACCCAGATCCCCTGAACATGGGCCTCAGTTAGGAGGCCTGGGACCTCTGAAAATAGTACCAGGATGTACCCCTGTTGCATGAAAGAACCTCAGGAGCTCATTCCCCATGGAGGGTTACTCGCTTAGCCTAGAGATATGGGGGAGGGCCTAGACCCTACCCCAAATGACTTAACAGACTTTAATGGTCCCTCATGGAAGTCTTCACCCTCCCTGGGGAGTGGGTGGGGGACGGGATGGGGGGGTTCTGAGGGGGTCCTTGGGAGGATGGGAGGGAGAGGGAACTGGGATCGATATGTAAAATATGAAAATCTATTTGAAAAAAAATCAGGCATAGTGTGTACAATTGTGGTTCCATCTATTCAGGAAGCCAAGGCAGGGGTCATTTGAGTCTAGTTTCTAGCTGAGTAACATGAGGGCTACCCTAGGAAACAACAAGAGCCCTGTCTCAAAAACCATAATAGCCACAGTAAAATAAAACTTCAAGGCACGTCTAAACACAAGCACAACACAATGGAAGGTATAGAAATGGTTATAAAGTGAAATATGGAAACAGTGAATACCACGTGAATGCCTGTCATTTAAAGCAGGAATCCTTTACCCAGTGCACATAATAAGAAAGAGCAGTTAGAATTACTTTACAGTGACACCACAAGACTGAACAATATTGCATTTCAGTTGTTTTCTTATTAATGGGGGGGCGAAGGGTGGGCTCCATCACACTCAAGGCCTCGCGAAGCATAGGGTCACACTGTGACAATGTGATGTGAGAATGTAGAGATAAACAATTTCCTTTTCTCAGCCAAGGAGAGCAGACAGTGAGAGAACCCCTGTGCAACGTTGGTCTTTCCAAATCTATCCATTTATAGGCTCTTGAGTGAAAAGTGTTTTCCAGATTTCAATAGGAAATTCCCTGAGATGGAAGGTATTTTGTAGGATTAGAGAGGGGGACATCAGTTACAGCTGTTTATCTGGGCCTTACTGCTCTCACTCACACAGTAGGCGCATAATAGATGCCCATGGACTTGCGTTAGCTTTTGTTTCTCAGAGAAAAGGAAATCAGGGACAAGGAAGCATCTTGTGTAGAATATTTCTTTTTAAACACCGCGGAGTAGAAAACCCTACACACCCCTCCCTTTTCCTCTTCTTGTGGGAAAATTCATAAACAACCCTGGCTAAGAGAATACCTCAGGGGGTTGAGGCAGTGACTTGTTTAGTCACTTGTTACTGTGGGATCTTGGTAAAGGCCTTCCATCTCTCTGACAGCTCAGTTTGATTTGATACAAAAAGCAGTCTACCAGCACTCTACCAGAGGCAGGCAGATCTTTGTGAGTTCTAGAGCTAGCCTAGAGCTACAGAGCTAGTTCCAGGACAGGCTCCAAAGCAATACGCGGGGTGGGGGGCTGGGGAGTGTGAAGCAGCACTCACACAGTGACTCATGAACTACAGTTCCAGAGGGATCTGACACCTTCTGTTCTCCTTGGGAACCAGGCAGGTGTGCGGTGAATATACATACATAAACAGACAGACTAAAATATGAATCTTTATGATGTATATTACTGTTCTGTTAGCAAGCGTTTGATGTTAGTTAAGATGATTTTAAATTTAGCTCCATTAATGTCCACTATGCCCATCCCATCTTCCTACCAGCCCTCTCTAGACTGCACTGTACCTTCCTAGTCTTCTTCTTGAATAGTTCACATGGCTAGCCCCCCCCATTACTTCTACCCATACCAGCCTTCACCTGCATGAACAGGTTTTCCAATTACTTTCACCCCGTGGCAATTTCTGGCCACATGATTGCAATCATCTCTCTTGCCCCCAAGCTTCTTAACAGGCCTGGACAAAACAGGCTTCTGTTAATGGCTGCCTTGTTTTTCTTCTACCAGAATTACTGGTACCATTTCTTTCTTATCCACCCCAGCAAGGGGATAGAACTTCATTTATTTATTCTAATGTGTCATTGCCCAGTGACACATTAGAATAACAGTCTTTCAATAGGAGACGATGGTAAAGGAAAGATCAGTCAGAGAAGAAAACTGAAGGTCTAAGTGGCATAAGGATGGGGGAGGCATGGAGCTAGGGAGAAGGGAATACTCTCATTACCAGCCTACATAAACCCATTCCATAAAGCTGGTGAATCATTAGCTTGTACTCACATCGTGAAGGGCTGGGACTGGGGCCAGTGGGAGGCACACATACACAGACCTGTGCTTGGGGGAATTGTTATACAACCACTTGAACAAGTGTAGCAAGGGAATTGCTAACTTGTGGTCCCTTTGATTATTCTCCTTTGACCTTGGCTATCAGGTGTACCCCTTCCCTGCTCTCCTTCCTTCTATGCCTCAGTAAAATAGAGATCAGGACTACTGGTACTCTGAGCCACCAACATCAAGCTGCACATGGCTGAGCAGCGGGTTGGGTCATGATTTCAAGACTAGAGAAGGCAGCAGAAGTCAATTTCATTCTCCAATTCCTGGGTGTTCCTGTTTTAGGAGCCAAGATCACAGCACCAATATTGAATCCCAACTACAGAGGCACTGAAAATTAGTAACAGGATTAAACATGAGGGTTTTCCGCCCTTGTGACAGAGTTTCATATCTGACTTCAAAGTTTTTATGTAGCTAAGGGTGACCTTGACTTCTGGTCTTGCTTTTACCTTTCCAGTGCTGGGATTGCAAGCATGTGCCATTTTGTGCAGTGTTGGTGATCAAACTCAGAGCTTTGTGCTAAACTTAGGGAAGTTAAACAAGACAAAGGATTCAGCTTATCCAAGGATGTATGGTTTATATGTCATGTAGCTCATTACTACAAATTATGTGAGCAACAGTGTAAGGCAACATGCATGCGCACACGCATGCACGCGCACATACACACACACACACACACACACACACACACACACACACACAGCACTATCAATAGCATCCACAGTAGGGACAGAAATGTGTATAAAGCTTAACTGGGTCCGTTGCTTGGGATTCTACAAGGGTGACATCAAAGTGTCTGCTTAGCATCTCTTAGTGGCTATAGGATTAACATAATCATGCTTTAAAAAATCGCTTAATTGAATATAAATACATAATCTCCTGCTCATTCCACTTAGTATTACTTGCGTGGACCTGCTTGGTTGGTTTGAGGACTGACCACTTGGTGCTGGACCATCAGTGAGGGGCTCCTTCCTGGAGAAGATTATTTTCCCTCTGTCGGCATTAGCAACATTCATGGTACCTAAAAACACAGCCGAAACTAGACCTGAATAAGGACAACATCAATAGACATGAAAGTCTGGATCTGGCGCGATGGCCTTGCGGGAACGCAGAATGAAAGTTACACATGAAGACTTCAAAAAATCTAAAGAAAACGTTATATATATAACATTCCAACGGGTTTTGCTAGTAAAGACCTAAAAAAAAAAAAATGAAGAAGTGGGAAGTCTCACAGGACCCCACTCACAGACTAAGAACTATAGGAGTCCAAGGAATGGTTCTTTAAGTTTTAATGATGAGCACAGAGACAGACACAGGAGAAGAGAGGCTCTGGCATACTCCTTGTGTGCCTGAAGTAATCCCTTGTGTGTGATCAGCTTCATTCTTTGACCTTTGCTACATTTTCAGTTATAGCTCTGAGAACACATGCTCAAAGAAAAGGCGTGACACCAGGAGGTAGGGGTCATGGAGCATCCTGTATTCCAAGTCTTTATAGTTTCTTGGAAATTTATCCCTGTGGATGTTTAAGAGCAAGAGAAAAGGCCCAGTGTGTAGGTGTGGGAGCACTTGGGAGACAGAGACAAGAGGATCTCTGTGATTGAACCCAGCCTGTAGTGGGTTTAAAACCAGGGCTACATAGTGAGACCCTGGAGAGAGAGCAGGGAGGGGGATAAACTCACATCAACAGATGAAAAGATGAATAAAATAAAGTACTCTAAATGAAGAAAGATGATTCTAAGCTGTGATAGAATGTGGTTGGAACTTGAAGACACAATTCTCAGTAAACTGAGCCAAACATTAAAAGTAAAACTGGTGGATTCTTCTACTAACACGAAGTGATAGAGATTGAATGCCCACTAAAGGTTCAAGTGTTAAAGGGCTGTTTGCCAGCCTATGCCCACTGTTAGGCGATTGGAGAGGTTCTAGAAACATGTCCTTGGATGAGACTGCTTCCTTCCCTACCTCTGTGAGTCGAGCATCTTTTCATGCTGATGTTCTGTCTCACCACAGATCCAAAAGCAGTGGACTATTGGCTGATAAAAATCTCTGAAACCATGAGCTAACCTAAACCTTTCCTTCTTGTGCATTGATTACCTCAGATAGCTTGTTATGGAATTAGAAATCTGACACAAAGTACAGCATCAAAATTCAAGGGGCAGAAAATACAGGGTTGACTTCAAGGAGGAACAGGGAGTGGTCAATAGGATGTTTTAGAGACGCAAAATTGATAGAACAGATATAACTAGATATAAATATAATAGATATAAGGCCAGAAGGGTCTTAGATGAGATAGTGTCATGTGACTATAGGGGCTGCCTCGTCTGATTCTGCAGTGATACCCAGAAGACTGAGGATCCAGAAGGTTCAAGGGAGGGTCTAATTCCTGTCCAAAGGCCAGTAAGAATTCCAGAGGGAGCAGGTGATGAAGATGAAGCCCAAAGGCCATCTGCTAGAAAAATGCCTCATTACATGGAGGACGATAGCTGCTTCTGTTTTCTTTTTCTTCTTCTCCTCCTCCTCTTCTTCCTCTTCTTCTTCTTCTTCGGATTTTGAGTGAATCTCATCCAAAATACAAGTAGACCATCTCTACTGGTTGATTTTATTTATCTGTTGTGTGACTTTTCATGGCAAGATATGACCAAAAACTATTCACCACAGATAGATAGGGAAACAAGCACAGACCAAGAAATCCCACCCTTCCCCCGTCCACAAAGAAATGTTTTAAATCAGAGGGAATAGGTGTACACTATAACCTCCATTCCAAAATGCTCTGCCTAGGTACCAAGTGATCCAGACAAGGCAGGAATAGAATGAGCCACCACAGGAGCTGTGAGAATATCTCCATCTAGAAAAGATGGGAACGCTGTGCAGGTGGGTTGTGGTGACAGCCGTATGACAATGTGAATGCACTTACCACCACATTAAGCAGTTCATCTAAAGTAGTTAAAATAGCAGTCATTGTATAGTTTATAGTTTTCGATATTGATGGTGTCTCAGATAACCAAGTCACTGTGGGAACAATAAAGTGTCATTATAAGTAATTTCCTGAGGTTCTACTGATTCTGAGTGACAGTCAAAATGAAACAAAATGAAAGTGAAAAGGCCACTTTGGAAGTTGAGGGATGTATTCAATTCCTGGCATTCACTCCCCAGCTAGGAAGCAGGCAGGGAGCAGGTAAGAGAGGCACTGGGTTTTTTTGTTTGTTTGTTTTGGTGTGTGTGTGTGTGCACGCGCGCGTGTGTGCGTGCATGCGTGCATGTGTGTGTGTGTGTGTGTGTGTGTGTGTGTGTTTTAAATGCACATCTTTGATAAGGTGTTGGCTCTATGGGCTGTTTTGTGAACTGTGTGATAGAAGGAAACTTTACATGGCAGATAAGCTGTTCTCAACTTGTGCTGGATATCCTACATAGGAAGAGGGAAAACTCAAAGCTTGGCATGGAGGAAGAATACGGAATCCCATATACAGTATCAGTACCGGTGGCTTTTCATATGTAACTTCCTAGATAGCTTACCCATTCTTTTACCTCTTCCTTTCCCCACTCTGCTTTTTCTGTAAGTGGTTTAAAACACAATTCAGCTATTGTAGAGTCTTATACACACAAACTCCAGAAAACATAAGGGGTTCCTTTTGAAAAGGCACATGCTAAAGCTGAGCCGGAGTTAGCATCCCTGGAATTCCTCTAAAGCCCATCACAGGCACACCTGTCTGTAATCTCAGTACTCTTTCTGTGAGATGGAGGGCAGAGATAGGAGAGGGTCCTGGAATCTTGCAGATCAGCTTGCCTAGAGCATGCACCAACAAACAAGAGACCTTTGCTTAAACAGTGGGAGACCAGGGCCCATCAGCACCTACCTGTGTTGCTTTCTGACCTCCATTTGCACCTGCGTTGTGCATGAACACAAGCAAACACACAAAGCTAGTAATTTTTCACAATATCTCTTAAGTTCCTATTGAAACATTATCATTTTTAAAAAAAAATTGTTTTGGGACAGAGCTTACTGTGGCACCCTTGATGACCTGAAACTCAGTATTATAGACCAGGATGGTCTTGAACTCATAGAGATCCACCTGGCTCTTTACCTCCCCCACACACTCCCGCACAGGCTTATGACACTATACCTGACAATTGAAACATTGCCAAATATACATTACCTTCAAATCACAGACACATATAAGTATTCAGTATAAGTATTTCCCCAAGAAAGCAGACCTAGGGGAAAATCCAAAAACTTACTCTATTTAGTTTCAATGGGCTCATGCTGTTGTTTGAAGTCACCATGTGCAAGAATGCCCCTATTGAGTCCTGCACCCAGGATAGCATGGCTAGAAATGCCAATCTTACATGATTTATATTACATGTCTAATTGTTAATTCATACCATAAAAAGTGAAATGTACTACTTATAAAAAGATACCATGTAGTGACAATACGTTTCAGTGAATCGGCAAACAGATACACGTGGACAATGAAGTCGCATTCCTTTCTACAAACCTAGCCTGAAGTATGTGCTTCCTTTGAGTTTCGAGCCCTTATCTGATAAGTCTTCAGTGTCTTTCCTATAATTGTAATGCATGGTGCATTTTTTCCTGCTGTCTTTTTCTTAGTGAAAGGTCATGAAACAGGACTGGAATTACCATTTTCCCCACCCACAACAGACACAACCTAAGAATTCGTGTTAGCCAACTTTCCAATATGAAGCAAAGTCTCCCCTTCCTCCTGTGAAGGCTGAGTCATCCTCTGCTAGATAAGAGTCACTATTTAAACCGCACCAGAAGCTCGCCCACTGGCAGTTCGCTGAGATCCTTGACTGCTTCAGTTTCTCACTCTTGGCATGAATTTGGAAATGACTTTTGATGACAAGATGAAGCCTGTGAATGAGCAGCTTGATCAGAAGTTATGTCACAGGAAGGCTAAAGGTACCAGGAATGGGTGGACGCTTGGAAGACAGAATGCCAGGCTTAGCTAAGAAAGGGAAATGGATGTACTAGAGAATGGCTTTAGAATGCATAAACATTCAAACGCCAGGAAATCAAGAGACTAATACCACTTATTTAGAAGAAGAAGAAGAAAAAAAAAAAAAAAAACCCAAGTAGAATTCAAGATATTAACTTATCTGTACTATTCTTTGCTGTAGGCTGTTATCCATGCTGTGACTTTGAATTAGGGACTCCTCTGACTCTTTAAACTGAAGTTTAGAAGTGTGGCACTGGTATTATCTGCCTTCTGCAGAGAGCTAATCCAAAATCAGAAGGGTTAATGAAGCCGCTTAGTTTTGTGGAACCATATACAGTGGATCCAAAATCATACCACAGATTTTCATATATGCAGAATCCAGTTCATGAAAAAATGCAGGGAATGAATTCATTCAGAGCACACAGTGATTATTTTTTATATGTGTCATCGAAGTGCTTTGTGAATTATCTAAAGCAAATTCAATATGGCTGAATACACAGTAGACTTCATTGTCTATCATGGCTGTGAAAAATTGTCATTTATGTTTAGCCAATTCAGTAAGTTGAACCACCTAGGTTTAATTGATAACTTCAATTCTGTAGACAACTACAGACAAAATATCTATTATTTTATAAAAATTAAGAGAAAAGCAGCTTGGTAGTGGGAGTGCATGCCTTTAATCCCAGGACTCCAAAGACAGGAGCAGTCCAGTCTGGTCTACAGAGTGAGTTCCAGGACAGCCTGGGCTACACAGAGACTAACCATGTGTGTGTGTGTGGGGGGGGTACAAAACCTAAGAAGAGGAAGAAAGACAGACTGTGTCTGCAAACAAGACTGACCTCTTTCCATGGGTAGAATAAGGGTGGGTATGGTGTTATTTACCATCTGAGTGGCTGAACCAGCTCAGAGTGAAGACAGTGCTGGTGTTCAGTGGTAGACCAGCACTGAACTAGCTTGCCGTGAAGAAGTGCTGGTGTTTAATAGTAGACTCAAGAACTTATGTCAGCCATTGATTTGTCCAACCATCCATTTTTTATTTGTGCAGTAACCACTGCTTGCCAGACTTTTGCCATAAATATAATTCTTTAAGATCCTTGGTTAGATTTGTGACCTACTGCGAACTATATACATGAGGCACTGAATTTAGTGAAGAAATATTTGTTTGTTTGTTTATTGACTGACGAAAGGTTGTTTTCTAGCTAATAGCCATAAATCAGGTGAGAATTAGACCACTGAGAATTCCTACCGCCGAGATGGGATGGAGATATCTTGTAGCTCAAAGGAACACGTGTCTTCCTTTCACATGGGTGGCTCATGGGATTGGTGTTTTCTTTTGAGTTGTGGGCATACAATGTGGGATGAATACTGGAGTGTGAAAGAGAAAGGGATTCTTGAGCACAGATACATGTTGCCAGGGGCCAAGGGTAGGTAACCATTAGTAAAAGGTATTACTGTCTTCCATTGTCGTCCAACTCACCAGAAGTGCCGGGACAGAAATCATTCAGCCAGAGAATGGGCTGTATTTCCTCTGATGACAATTTCTATCTTTTAAAAAAATTATCTATAGAGTCTAACAGAGATTGTTAACACATGGGAGCCCAGCTTGATTGACACAGACTTTTACCAAATTCATACCAAAAGCTTGGTGATTCACATTCCAAGCATTGTGGCTTATAAATATTGGATTAAAGGCCTATGTTTAGAGCCAGATGTGGTACTGCATGCCCTGATAGCCCAGCACTAGGGAGGCTGAGGCAAGAGCACTCACCAATCTGAGCCCATCCCGGGCTTAGTAGATTCCAAGGCAGTGTGGACTACAAAGTAAGCGTTGTCTCAAGCAAGATCAAAGTAAAACCCAAAGTCCTACATTTTAGGTTTGGCACATGTGTGCTCTCAAACTAGGGACTGAAGCTTTAGGTTTCCCCTTTAAGTGTAGAGGAGAATAATATCAGTGCTCTGTTTATCTTACAAGGGGAGGAAACCAAATACATTGTTTTCCTCTTGCAGTCTGTAGTGCTTCTGGTTATTCAATCCTGGGACACATAACTGCGCATTCTCATGTCTGAGAGCTGTGTGACTTGTTTGAAAAACTAAGGGAATTATTATCTGGGGCTAATAGGCCTGGATGCCTCAAGTTGGCTTCATCTGCCTCTGCACCAGAATTGTTGCAATCCCAATTGGAATACACATTTTTAGCTGACTCGCCATACCTCAGGGAGGAAACATCAAATGATTCCCCTGCCATATGTGAGCTTTGGGATTTATATTACTATTTACTGTAGGGGGATCACCACATTAACATAGTGCATGGCAGGCTATTATGATGAGCCAAGTGCATATCAAGGTTTCATTCCTAGTTTCCTTTGGTTAATAAAAATTGATTGTTGTGACATTAGGCATACAAGTTCTTGGGGAAAATCTCACGTGACCAGCTAAAATATTTTGCTTGGCATCTGACAGCTGTTTGCATAATGTTACTTATGAATACCTGTGTATATGTGTATATAAATGTCAGGCTTTCTGCACCGTAGGTGAAGTTAGGCTGCCTTGAGGGTTCCATGAAGGGCATTGTGCATAGAACAGATGAAGTAAAAGCTTTAGGACCAAGTATTTAGCCTCTGATACCTCACTGGATCCCAGCTGTTATTTTCCCCATGTAGACCACGAGTAATTAACTTCAGTTCCATAACCACGTATGGTCCCACCTGCACACATTCAGACCCAGTGGGATTGGGGAGGGGACTAAGAGGTACAGAGCACAGAGCCAGGCTTGACGACTTGCCTGTGTCTTTTCCAATTTTCTGACTCTCCTTCCCTGCAGGTTTGCATTTTCTTTCCTCCCCATGGTGGTGCCCTGCTGCTATGACTCTGGCCATCCTTTGTGTGGGGTTATCAGTGACCCTTATTGTACAGTGGATGCAATGTAAGTGTTGAAATAGGGAAATGGAGGCGGGCAATGAGGGTTATGAACACAACTCATAGCAACTATAGATCAGCCTAGATTTAGATTCAGTTTGGGAAGATGCTTTGAGAAGAAGCCAAGTATTTAATGGATATATTGTGTTCATCCCTCCACTGGAGAGGGGCATGGAATGAAGACTACTCATAGGAGTGTTTTTGTTTTGCTTCATAATTTTATGGAGGATGCTGTTTACATCCCAGAATAATTTGATAATAACTCGAAGTTTCTAATACATAGGGTCATCAGAGCAACCCAAGAGGAAAAGAAATACTTCTCAGCTTTGTTTTGATGAATTTGACTAGATGCTAAGAATCATAATTAATTGTTCCATTAAAATAAGAAAAACACCAAGAGCAAAATGTACTTTGAGTTTATAACATGTAGGGAAGGGGAAAAGAACACATGACAAAAAGGACCAGAATGGCTAAAAGGAAAGATAGTATTTTCCCTGCATCAGCCTGCATGAACAGGTTTTGGTGCTGGGTTATTCTGCCAGCCAGGATCCAAGATGTAAAGCCCCAGAAGTACCACTTGCTTCTGACATGTCTAAGTCAGTGTAATGGTGTTTTGTTTGTTTGTTTTACATTATCTGTGGGCACTAGAGCCTAATGATGGGGGTATCCTAATGATGGGGCAAAGGATACCACTCGATGGCAGTAGTTGCAAGTAAGGAGCCCATCACCATCTAGCAGGCTCAGATTAGGCCTTGAAGCAAAGGGGCAGCAGTGACCTGTGCTCCAAAACGGAGCTGAATTCCTAGGACAGAGTTCATTTCTGCTGGATTGCATAACATTCATTCTGTCTCCACCATCCCAAACTGTTGTGTGGCTAAAACGAAATCCACTCTCAATGACATCATACAGAAATTTACAAATATTTCATGGGTGGTTGTCCTAAAAATGAAGGCAAATGTCAAGAGTTCCTAAATAAAATTAGGAAGTCTGCGGTGTAGACAGGGTGGAGGGGGGGGGGGAGGAGGGAGCTAAAGAGGAATTAAGCAGAATAAATTGCTAATGACAATTCCTCCTAGGGGAGAGGCAACAACTATAGATTGCCAATATTATATTTGTTCTATTATATTAGTTTTTACCTTGTCGCTATCTTAAAATTTTTGTTTTGCTTTATTACTATTCAAGGGTTTCATATTCATGTATATAATGCATTTTGATCAAACCTACTCCCATCTCCCTCCCAACACTACACCCCCGTTTCCTCTGAATTTCATGTGCTCTGCTTCTAATTTTTAAACCACTTAATGTCGCCTATACGTACATGGATGCAGGGCCATCTGCTGGAGCATGGGTGGTATCACAGGAGCCACATCCATGGAGCAAACAAGCTGACTCCCTTTCCAGCAGCCATCCCAGTAGCTCCTCACCTAGGGGGAGGATCCCTGGAGCTTATACCCATCCTTTTCTTTACTTTAAAACCCATGGGCTTTGGCATGATGACCAAGTCCTCTGCCATTGAACAATACCCCACCTGCCGCAGACTTGCTACTGGGCTATATTATTCCCTGCCGTTACTTTCACTTCACATAAAAATCTAAACAAAAATAAAGCTGTGCATTTTTTATTCAGAAATCTCTACATGATTACTAATAAAAATTACAATAGAATTGGAATCACGAAAATACAACTGAACAACTTTTATGTCCATAAATTCTGAATCATTTTGGGCAAATTCCCCAGCAGCCTTCCAAGTACATTTATTCCTCCATTGTTGCTCGAATGGGTAAACTGTTTCTGTCAACACACATCTGTTGTCAGGATAGATTAACTGAGTGTGTGTTTTAATGTCCTGGGCATCATCCAGTGGCAGCATTTGCACTGGAGAGCAGAGGCTGAGTCTTAATTCTCTGTGATTTAGTACTCCAGGTATCTGACCTCCTAAAGCAATACCAAGCAAACCTTACTCACCAGGAACATATCCTGGAGGGACAGATCTTAGCCCAGCAGCAGGCAGCAAATGCTTCACAGAAGGAACTCGAGGACACAATAGACACCCTCACCTGGCAGCTGGAGGAGAAAACCAAACAGCAGGAGGAGCTTGTGCAGCAAAACCTGAACCTCCAAAATTCCCTGCAGAGAGCTGCAAACTTCTCAGGTACAGGGGAGGGGCAGTGAAGAGGGATGGTGGTGGGCTCTCTTCTCAGTCTTAGGTAGGCTTTGTGAAACTCCCACACCACACAGAGACCACACAGAGAGCACGCCTTTCGAGTGCTCTACACAAGCTCTCTGACAGTGCCATTTCCACTCTAGCCTGCGTGAAGTCTCGGACACCTCTAATTTGATGGAGCTCTCCTTCTTGTAGGCTTAACATTTTCCTCTCTCTCTCTCTCTCGCCTTCCTTCCTTCCTTTCTCCATTTCTCTCTTTCTTTTCAATTGTAGCTTTGAGATTTGTGTGGGAGTGCCATCCTATTCCACCTCGTTACTGCTTCTGTCACAGGTGTGTTATTATTTCCATCCAAATGCTTCTCAGTGGCTGGCTTCCCTGCCCTCAAGAGTCTTCCTGTCATTGCAGTTCTTTACCCCAGCTCCCATGTTAGCTTCATTCTGGGACACTTTTTCTTGGATGGACACGGCATCTGTCTAAGTACAAGCAGTGGAGGTCAGTTGACTTGGAAGGTGTAGGTAGGTAGTTCAGAATCCATAAAAAATAGAAGTGTGAAGAGTGAGTTTATATAGGAATTGAGATGATTTCATCTGTTTATAGGGATTCAGAATGTAGCAGGCAGGCAGGCAGGCAGGCAGGCAGGCAAAGAACAGGTTGTGTACTAGCCCAGAAGCTTTATGTGTTATTGAGTTTTCCTTCACTGTGTAATTAAGTAAGGTATGCCTTCTAATTACAGAGTTAGGTGTGCCAGAGTCAGATGTCCCTTCTTGGGAAGTGCACGGATAAGGGTGCTTGTCTCAGGATTAGCAATTAAGTGCCATTCAACATCACATCTCTCCAACTTTTGTTTGTGTTGCTAACAATTCAATTGTGCGATTTTGTTAAGTAAAGATTATATAATAATACATAGCCATCCCTTCATTGTATAGTAAAATACTGAGAGAAGGATAGACTTTGGTAATAATAATAATGGGTGGTTTGGTGTAAAGTTACTCAGATTATAAGTTTTTTCAGGCCCTGCATGGTAGGGCATGCCTTTAATCCTAGCACTGGAAGACAGGCAAGCAGATCTCTGGGTTCAAGATTAGCCTTGTGTACATTACGAGTTCCAGGCAGGTCTACATGGAAAGATCAAACAAACAAAAATAAAAAAAATGCTTTCAGTATCAGAGGGGTAATTTAACTTTGCAAAAATCATCAGAAAGTTTCAGAAAGACCAACCTTTGACTAGTGTCATCCTGGTGGCCATGTCACAAGAACAGCAGATTGCAATTGACTTCAGGGTGTCTGACCACGAAGAGTAAAATCCTTGTTGGGTGAATCTCAGATAGGCAAGGGCCTGAGATCATTGACCAGAAGGTGTCTTTTCCTTTTGTTGTGCTTTTAATGTTTCCCCCTGCCATCTTCCTCTGGTATCTGGCATGGTGTGAATGGGTATCTGGAGATCCCCACTGCCTGTAATGTAGTGTGTTTATCCCGTGGAAACATACAGTTCTACTGGGCATTTTTACCTGTGGATTATCATTAAGATGATTCTTTGCTAAGATGTACTGTCTGATTGATAATAATGTTAGTTTATAGAGTTTTGATGAATAAAAATAAATGCAACACAGCTAGGACCTATGAATTTCACCTAAAGGCTGCACAGGTCACAGTTCAGGTTAATGATTAAGGAAAACGATTGAGTACCCAGGAGCCAGGCTGGCTCTAATTCTCTTAATGCTGAAAGATGCACTCACAGATTTTTGGTGTGCATCATTAGCTGAAACAAAGCTTTAAAATAACTTCGGATTAGATCAGATGTTTTGATAATAGCTTTGATTTTTATCCCAGAAAACAATTTAAAGTCCCCAAGGACACATGGCTGAGCTATATATTCATGGATCAAAAATATAAAGCAGCCCAGTTGTTGCTTCCTGACATACTTTGCTTGCTAGAACTGGTTGCCAATCCAAGGTTTTGATTAATTCCTTGTATCCATCCCTGCCCTCAATCTCCTGTTGTAAGAAACTATTGATGAGTGGCTATACACCCAAAAGATTTAAAGTAGAGTTGATGGATTCTTTTTCATATATGAAAGTTTAGGTTTGTGATTCCTTTAAGATTCTTTATAAGATCGCCTTTCAAGATAAGTAATAAAGTAATTGGCCATTTCTTTGTAACTGCAAAGCTGCAGTTTGCCAGTAAAAGACCAGACTAAGAAGAATATCTTGCTTGCCTATATGGTTAATCTATAACAAGTTGCTTAGTTTTGAATGTATGTGGGTTCTTGGATAATTTTTCTCACCTGTAATATGTGAAGTCTTTGTGGAAAACCTGCTGCCTTTTTCTTGTGCACATTCACTTGAAAAACAGAACGTAACTACATTGTAATTTTTATATTGCCCGAAAGATTTTGCTGGGGTATACAAGCTGTAAGAAAAAGAATAATGATAGAGTTAAAATAGACAAAGAACAAAGTTAAAATAGACTAGGAGAAAAACATCAAGAATGACAGAGTTAAAATGAGTTAGATGGAAAATATCAACAATGAGAGAGACAGAAGGAACTAGAAGGGAAACATAAAGAATGAGAGAAGGAAATCACCAGGAAAACAAAGCATAGAGGATGCAAACGAAGAAAAAAGAAGGGGGGGGGGTCTGAAAAAAAATCAAGAGAGTGTGTCTTCCCCCCTAACCTCCTCAGATAAAAAAGTCTAGTAAGCTCTAACTCTGGATTTTCTGTTGAGTCCTGTGCTGCAGCAGCCTTTCATTCATTCCTTTACATTTATTCCTCCATTGTTGCTCGAATGGGTAAACTGTTTCTGTCAACACGCATCTGTTGTCAGGATAGATTAACTGAGTGTGTGTTTTAATGTCCTGGGCATCATCCAGTGGCAGCATTTGCACTGGAGAGCAGAGGCTGAGTCTTAATTCTCTGTGATTTAGTACTCCAGGTATCTGACCTCCTAAAGCAATACCAAGCAAACCTTACTCACCAGAAACATATCCTGGAGGGACAGATCTTAGCCCAGCAGCAGGCAGCAAATGCTTCACAGAAGGAACTCGAGGACACAATAGACACCCTCACCTGGCAGCTGGAGGAGAAAACCAAACAGCAGGAGGAGCTTGTGCAGCAAAACCTGAACCTCCAAAATTCCCTGCAGAGAGCTGCAAACTTCTCAGGTACAGGGGAGGGGCAGTGAAGAGGGATGGTGGTGGGCTCTCTTCTCAGTCTTAGGTAGGCTTTGTGAAACTCCCACACCACACAGAGAGCACGCCTTTCGAGTGCTCTACACAAGCTCTCTGACAGTGCCATTTCCACCCTAGCCTGCGTGAAGTCTCGGACACCTCTAATTTGATGGAGCTCTCCTTCTTGTAGGCTTAACATTTTCCTCTCTCTCTCTCTCTCTCTCTCTCTCTCTCTCTCTCTCTCTCTCTCTCTCTCTCTCTCTCTCTGTTTTTGTTGTTCTGTAGTTTTGTTTCTTTTGTTTTAGATAGATTCTCTCTCTGTAGTCCAGGTTGACCTGGGACTCATTATTTAGAACAGATTGGCCTTGAACTCAAGGGATTTCTCCTGCCTTAGTCTTCTGTGTACTGGGGTTGCAGGCAGGAATTACCATATTAGTTTTTTGCCTTTCGGGTACAGCTTGCCTGCATAAAATTATCAGGCGGGTTTGTGCCACAGTGACAACTGAAGTCATAATTTTACTCTTCCTAAGGACTTTTCCCCATTTTGGTTACACTGCAGAGGAAAAGGCAGTCTCTTGTGTGTCACCATCACATTGAGGTTGGTGGTTGTAGTGAGATATTCACTTTGTCTGCTTCTGTGGCACTAGTCACGCCCATTGGGGGTGGAGCCAGGGGCGGAAGTGACCTATGGAACTAGGTCTGTGGAGGAGTGGGGAACACTCTCTTGCTGGTGGGATGTGGGGCATCCTGTGGAACTTGCTGGTGTTCATCTGTCTAGGCTGTAAGTTATTTCTCCCTGGGAGTTGTCAGCATGCAGATGTTGACACCTCAGGCTACTTACTGCCTTTTCCCATAGACCAGTTTGCTGGATCCCCCAGAAAATTTGCTGCTGAGAGTATCTTATTTACTGAGATTGAGAGCGCTCATTTTATACCAATACAACATTCTACCTAAATCAAACTTGTCCAAAAGAATGTGAGCTACTATGTGACAGTAAATTTTCTACCATGAACATGTTTAAAGAAAGAAAAAAAAAAAAAAAAAAAAAAAAAAAAAGCAAAGGGAAATAATTGTGCCGGCATAATTTACTTAACCAAAACATCTGAAAAACTCATTTAACATGAACCTGTGAGGTTCTCAATGGGCTAGTCTCATGAAGCTCTCAAAATCACATGTGTGCTTTAAATGCAAACACAGGTAACTCCAAACTTACCTCATTTCAGAAGCCCCATTGACAACTGTATTGGACAACGCAAGGATAAAAGGAGATAAAGTAGCCAGAACTAATTCTGTTATTTGGAGATAGAACAGAATCAGAAAGGTTTTTTTTTTTTGTTTGTTTGTTTGTTTTTGCTTTTTTTTAATGCATGTCTATCTTTGCGAGTGACCCAATAAAATCCATTTCTTTAACTCTTGTTTTTGTAATTTCAAACAAAACTTTTAAAAAAAAAAATGAAAGTACAGACTTGCATACAAACTTTGTCTCTTGAGAAGGGAAATGAAATGGTAAATTGAGAGTCAACCCAGTTTACTAAAATCAGGATGCTTCAGCTCTTCTTCTTCCCAAAACACCCTTTCTGTCTTTAGAAATATAAGAAATATAAAAGACAGGAGGAGGAACTTGGGAAAAGTTGGAGGCAGGGAAACCATAATCAAAATCTATTGTATGAAAAAAAAAAAAAAAAGAAAAGCCACCCCTTTTTCAACAGAAGAAAAATGATATAAAGGAAAACAAGGGTTGGAAAGTTGGTTCTGTGGTTAAGAGCATTGGCTGCTCTTCCAAAGGATCCGCCCACCCATGTAGCCTCTCATAGCTGTTTGCAACTCTGGGATCAGTGGATCTGACGCCCTCTGCTGGCCTCTGAGAGAACCACGTGCATGTGGCACAGATACATACATGCAGGCAAAAACTCATACAATAAAAATAAAATGTAAAAAAAGGGATTTAACAATGAGGACATAAAGATTTTTGCCATTCTGGTATTTGTCGAATCTGGGTATCATTCTAAGGAAGAACCGAAGAAATGCCTTTGCTCAGAACTCATGTGTTCTGTTAACTCTTCCTAGGTCCTTGTCCACAAGACTGGTTATGGCATAAAGAAAGGTGTTACCTGTTCTCTTATACACAGTCTTACTGGGCAAAGAGTCAAGAAAACTGCCTGTCTTTGGATGCTCAGCTGCTACAAATTAGTAGCATAGACGATCTGGTGAGTCATTTGGGGGTGATGGTGGGATAGATTATGGGCTAGTAAAAAAATAACGAATCAGGCTTAGGTCTGGGGGAGGATGTCTTAGACTTTTATTGCCATTAATAAGTGCCATGAGGATGGCAACTCTTATAAGGACAAGTATTTAATTGGGGCTGGCTTGCATTTCAGAAGTTTAGTTCATTATCAGCATGGTGGCACACAGGCAGATTTGGTGCTAAAAGAGGAGCTGAGGGTTCTACATCTGAATTCCCAGGCAGCAGGCAGAGCGATGCTGAGCCTCCCTTGAGCTTCTGAAACCCCGGTGCCCACCACCTGTGACACACTTCTCCCAACAGAGCCACACCTACACCAATAGCGCCACACCTGCACTCTCCATGGGGGCCATTTTCATTCAGGTCACCACACGGAGGAATACTTGTTTGAGAGGGAAAATAGCTGTTTCCCCACCCCCCTTCCCTGATCTGATTGCATACTTGGCCTTGGGCTTATAGGATGAACATAGAGTCTCCATAGGCTTCTGTAAACATTGCCATCAAACAACCAAGGGATGCTGAAGATCTTTGTGATATTTAGTTTGAATTACTCTGAAGTCAGAGGGGTGTGTTTCCACAGAACTACATCTTGCAAGCAACTTCTCACTCCACCTCGCCATTCTGGATGGGATTGCACCGGAAGAAAAAAAACGACCCATGGCTGTGGGAGAATGGCCCTCCTTTGCGTCCTCACTTGTAAGTTCATTTCTCATCTTGGAGCCCATTGTGAGTGTTCTATTCCTGGCTGGACATGCTTTGAAGTCACTGTCACAGTCCACATGTGTCCTCTCCTTATCAGAATGAAGAGTGAGGAATCCTTGAAAGTCGCACGAGGGTTTGCTATTTGCCCCTTTAGACCTTTGCTGGCATTTCCTTTCACATTACTGCTGATTTCAAGCTTGGAGAAAGAATTGGTTTCTAGCACAAAGATGCTACATGTCATTTTTTCTTTTCTTTTTTTTCTACACCTGCAGATTTAAGATCAGAGGAATTCCTTCCCAGACTCATCCATCAGGCACCTGTGTATACATTCAAAATGGAGCTATTTTTGCTGACCACTGCATTTTAACTGCATTCAGCATATGCGAGAAGCGGGCAAAGCTATTGCTAACAGAGTCAATTTGAAGGGAACAGACCTTAGACTGTTGTTACGAAATTTAAGCTATTCTTGCTCACTTGAATGTAAAACATGATTTCCTGACAGCTGTCAGCTAACTGCTAGCATCAGTTCGCCTCAGCAGAGGCAAGGAACAGAAGCAGGGACTGGGGATCCAGTCGTTGGACATCTTTGTATCAGACGTTGTGAGTTCAACTGTTTATCCGTATGTATTAGCCTTGCCTTTCCCCAGCCTCCCAGCCACCCTGCAATCCTGCATCTCTTTCTTGTTTTAAATGATGACTCCTGCTTTCTGTTCAGTCTCCTATACCTCAGTGTGCCTTATGGGAGCTGCATGGAAAACAGAATGTGGAGAACCTGCTCAAGTGCAGGCAAAGGGTTCAGAAAGGAAATACGCCTGTGACGCAACAGGCAAAGAATCAGAACAGAGGAAAAGCCACACTGCAAGAAGGAACTTACGTTCCTGCCAGGAGCCACAGCTTCACCTTCGTAAATGCGGTCCATTTCCATACTGCACCATTTACATTTTTAATTTCATGTTTATTTTGTGTTTATGGGGTTTTTGCCTATGTGCCACACAAGTGCCTGATTCATAAGATCCCCTGGAACTGGAATTTACAGGTGGTTGTGAGCTGCTATGTAGGTGCTAGGAATTGAACTCATGACCCATAGAAAAACAGCCAGTAATCTTAATCATGAGCTGCCTCTCCAACCCCTGTGATGGGTTCTTACATAAGTTATCTCTTCCTCTTCCCTCTACCAAACAGTATTGTGGCTTTAGCCCTTTAAAACAGTGTTTGTTACAACCATATAGCATGTGACTCCCCAAAGCAAAACCAGATTTCCCCCGTAAGCTACACATTCCTTGTAGACAACCTTTTTTTGATCCTGGCATGCAATGCTACAATTCAGAAACACATGTGACCAAAATGAAAGAAACTAAATTTTAGGAAAAGTTCTTAAGAGCAACATGATCTGGGTATAAAAATAGTGTTCTATTGTAACAAATGAGCTAAGAAACTTCTATTTTCAAAGCCTCCATTTTCCCCACAAACTTCCAAACACTTCCACTTTGAAGGAAATGTTCCATTGTTCTAGGCCAACAGTCGTGTGTGTGTGTGTGTGTGTGTGTGTGTGTGTGTGTGTGTGTGTGTGTGTGTGTTTATATGCGATAGATGCATCCTTGGGTCCTTAGGAAGATGAGACAGGGATTACCTTTTCATTGGTAGTTTTTCTGTGTAATGAACTTACAATAAATTGAATCTGTAACACTATAAACTGTGGTGATCATATCACCATAGCCAAGATGATGAACAGAGTGTATATATTTGTATGTATGTATGTATGTATGTGTGTGTGTGTGTGTGTGTGTGTGTAAGACAGGATCTCACTATGTAGCTTTGGCTGGCTTGAAACTCACTTTATAGACCAGGCTGACCTCTGACTCACAGAGTTTGTCCTCCCTCTGACTCACAAGTTCTAAGGTTAATGGAATGCATTGTCACATGTGACTTCTACAGTTTATATGAATGGAATTACATAATATGTGTTTTTGGCCTAATATCTTTCACTTGGTGCTATTATTTTGGCATGCATACATCTCCATCTCAGTGTTTTTATCAGTTCTTCATTCTTTTTTAAATGTTGAGCATTCCAGTATGGGCACATACTGCTAGTTGTTTATCTGTGTACTTGTTGGTGCCATTGGGTTGTTTCAGTTTGGGTTTAACTACAAATAAAGCTACTATGAATGTCCATGAGCAAGTCTTTGGCTACATCCAGGATCTGATTTCTCAGGTAAGTACCTATAAGTGTGATGTTCAGTTCGTGCAGTACATAGACATATAGTTAGTGATCTGAGAAACCAATAAACATTTCGCCAAAGTTAAGGCACTTTGCATTCCCACCAGGAGTGTAGAGTGACCCATCTCCTCTTCATCTTCACCGTAATCCAGTATGGTCAATATCATAACTTTAACCATTTTTTTTTGGAAAAATCTTAATTTTTAGATTTATTTATTTTATCTGTAATAGTTCTTTCTTTAAATGTATGTTTATGTGCTACATGCATGCCTGGCACCAGAGGAGGTCAGAGGAGGGCACTGTATTTTCTGGAACTGGAGTTACAAATGATTGTGAACCATCCTGTAAGGTTCTGGGATCTGAACCCAGGTCCTCTGGAAGGACAGCCAGCACTCAACTCCTGAGCCATCTCTCCAACTGTTTAGCTATTCTTATAGGTATATACCTGTCTATAGTTGCAGTTTTCATTTGAAGTTCTTAAGTGGCAAATGATCTTGTATTTATTTTAATGTAATTTTTTACTGTCTGTATGTTTTCTATGATGAAATAACTGGGTACGTCTTTTGGAGATTTTATTTTCTTGGGTTTTAAATCTGAGGGATTTACATATTTGAGAATAAAAAAGGCTATGGAACAACAGTTTTGTTGTTGTTTTGTTTTTTTAAAATTTTTTCTTATTTTACATATCAATCCCAGTTCCCTCTTTCTCCCTCCCTCCCATCCCACCCTCTCCCCAACTCCACAGGGAGGGTGATGCCTTCTAGAAGGAATCAACAAAATCTGTCAAGTCATTTGGAGTAGGGACTAGGCCCTCCCTCCTGCCTCTGGGCTAAGGGAGTATCTCTCCATGGGGAATGTGCTCCCAAAATCCTTTCGTGCACCAGGAATACATCCTGGTTCCACTGTCAGAGGTCCGTTACACCGCCCAGACCTTCTAACTGAGACCCATGTTCAGGGGGTCTGAGCTGGTACAATGCTGGTTTCCCAGCTATCAGTCTGGGAGTCCATGCCTCCCCCTTGTTCAGGTCAGCTGTCTCTGTGGGTTTCTGTGGACTGGTCTTGACCCCATTTTCTTATCACTCTCCCTCTCTGCAACTGGATTCCAGGAGTTCAGCTCAGGGTTTAGTTGTGGGTGTCTGCTTCTGTTTCCATCAGCTACTAGATGAGGGCTCTATGATGGCAGATAAATTAGTCATCAATCTCATTATCAGGGAAGGGCATTTAAGGTAGCCTTTCCACTGTTGCTCAGATTGTTAGTTAGGGTTTTCCTTGTAGGTCTCTGGGCATTTCTCTATAGTCAGTTTTCTCTTCAAACCTATATCTCAGGCGCTGAAGATAAACTAGAGGAAATAGATTTATCGACCAAAGAAAATCTTAAATCCAACAAATCCTTAACACAAAACATCCAGGAAATGTGGGACACCATGAAAAGGCCAAACCTACAAATAATAGGCATAGAAGAAGGCGAAGAAGCCCAGCTCAAAGGTGCAGTTTTTGTTTGTTTCTTAGTTAAGGTTTCTATTTTTATGGCCACGGTAACTCTTATAAAGGAAAACATTTAACAGTCTCAGAGGTTTAATCTATTATCGTCATGGCAGAACATGGTGGTGTGAAGGCAGACCTGGTGCCGAAAAAGGGGTTGAGAGTGGAGAAGGGAGGTACATCTTGATTTGCAGGCAGCAGGAAAAGGCCTGAGACAGTGTGCATGCCTGGACATAGGACATAGGCGAGGCCTCAAAGCCTGCCTCCACAGTGACATACTTCTTCCAACAAGCCACAGGTCCTCCAACAAAGGCACACCTCCTAACAGTACCACTCCTCAAGAGCATATGGGGATCAGTAAATTTAAACTACCACAGTTTATTTGTTTGCTTGTTGTTTGGTTACAGTTTGTCTTTTAAAAAAAAGTCACAAAACAGACATTTTTAATTTTGATAAACTCCATTTTCCTATTTTAGGCACCAGTCTAAGAACTCACTGCCTGACTCAACACTACAAAATTTTCTCTTGTGCCTTTTTCTCCAGAAAGTCTTTAGTTTCAAGTTTTACCTTGAGGTCGATGACTCGCTTTGGATTCTTTGCAAGTCATGCATTGAAGCTCCTCGTTTCTCGTGTGGATACCCAATTGTTTCAACAGCCTAGTGAGGTTGCTGTTGCTACTTAACATTGCCTAACTGTTTCTGCATGCTCTGTCCCAGGGGCTTCTCTGTACATTTTTCGACTGTGGCCTCTGCACTGTTTTGAATACTGGATCTTTATAATAAACACTGAAATCATGCTGTGAGGATGTTTGAACCACAGTCTTCCCAAAGCTGTTTCAGTTGATTTGTGCTTCTGTACTTTCATATTCAGTGTTGGAGTGGCTCATCAACTCCATAAAACGCTTTTTTGAATTTTGAATCTATAGATACATTTTAAGAAAGCTAAAACCTTTTAAAAAGCTAATTCATAGCCGGATATGGTGGGGCGCGCACCTTTCAACCCAGCTCTCATTATGCAGAAGCAAGCAACTCCATCTCTATGAATTCAAGGCCAGCCAGGACTACAAAGTGAGATCCTACCTCAAAATAAAATAAGAAAAATGAAAAGAATGTTGATTTGCAAATATTTATCCACACATTCTACACACCCTTTGCTCTCTCTGGACGATGTTTTGTATTTTCTGTACAGATATTGTACAGATATCTTATACATTATAGACTATCATTACGTATTTCATACTTCTCAAGTTGCTGTAGATAGAATTACCACCTACAAATTTGATTTATAAGTATTTGTCGTTAGTGTTCAAAAGCAATGGATTTTATGTTAGTGTTGTACTTTGAGGCCTTGGTAAACTCATTCCATTGTCCTCAAAACTTTTCTTCTATATGCTGCTGGATTTTCAGTGTAAGTAATCTAAACATATTCAATACATCGTGCTTTCATAATGACTGCTTTTTGATTGTGAACTTTAAGTATGGTGTCAACTATTCATTTTACATAGGTAGTCTTTGTTAATTTAAGAAGTTATTTTTTTAAACAGTTTTATTTTATTAGCGTGTGTGTTTCTGCATGTATACATGTGAGTTTGTGTGTACTTGTGTGTGTGTTTGTGTGTGTGCAGTATACATTTGTTTGTGTGAATACACACATGTTGTATGTGGAATACTGGCACATTCAGATGCCTACAGCGGCCAGAGGCTTGTCTTCATTTGCCACTTTCTAGTTCATGAGACAAAGTCTTGAACTGAATGTGGAGCTCACAAATTAGCTTGGCAGTCCAGCAAGCCCTTGGTATACTCTTGTTCCTTCTCCCCACCCTGCCATGGTCAGTACAAGCCCATGCTAGCATGACCAGTGTTTATACACGTGCTGGGGATCTGAACTCTAGTAGTCATTTCATGTGCTATCCATTCTTAAATCAAGATAAGGCTTTTCATCATGAGGTATTTTTTTCTAAAGGTTTTCCCCCTGATTATTTACTATGAGCATGTTGCTGTTCCTTGTGTATGTAACTCTGTGTGTGTGTGTATCTATGTGTGTGTGTGTGAAGTATGTGCCTATGTGTGTGTGTATCTCTCTGTGTGTTTGTGTGTCTCTCTGTGTGTGTGTGTGTGTGTGTGCTTGTGTATGTGTCTGCATATGAAAGTCAGAGGAAGACTCCGGAGTGTTGGTTTGTTCTTTCCACTATGTACTTCCAGGCATGGGACTCAGGCCATCTTGCCAGATCAGGGGTTTCCCCCCCCCCCCTGCAGTGAAAGTCTGCTAAGGAGGAAACCCTCTTACTCTTGTACACTTGATACATTATTTCACAACCATCTGTGAAAGTCTTTTCTGTGACTACAGAAGCCTAGATCAACATCCTTTTCTTTCTGTAATGTAAGTTGCTCTCAGTCCTCTCATTTCTGTTCTTGGTGTGTATTAGGGGTAGGAGGGGCTCACCCGTGCAGATGCGATGCGCAAGGATGGAGACCTGAGGTTGATGTTGGGTATCTTCAGTCACTTCCCCACTGGACCCAGGCTTTGGTTTTGACTAGTCTGCCTGCTCAGGAAGCTCCAGGAGGCCTCCTGTTACCGCCTTCCTACACCAGAGTTACAGGTCAGTGACATCTGCTGGGGATGCAGACATAGTCTCTTAGCCTTTCATAGCAAACATTTTACCTCCCATAGCCTCCTCCTAGCCTTCACAACTATAGTGTTTGTGACAAATAATTTACCATGGTCACTCCTCCCCTAAGGTTAATTCTTCTACTAGGGGATGACCAAACATGTTAAAAATAAAAACAAAACAGGAACAACAAAAATCCAAGGGTGTTAGAAATACAAACTTCAGTTAGAAATATAAAACTCAAGCTCATCCAGAGCACAATCACAATTCCTAGTGAGGTGCCCGAGAGCAACAAGTCTGGGAAGGGCTTAGGTGTGAGTCCAAGACAAAAGGAAGGGTGGGAAGGGACCCCCTAGGTCTTCAGAGGGTGGTACCTCCATTTCTACAGTGACTGAAGATTGACAGACCGGTAGCTCACTCTGTTTTCCTCCCCCGCTTCCTCGCCTCTTTCCTCCTTCCCTTTATCTTGCTTCTCGCGTTCTTTCCTTCCCTTCCTCGACTTTTCTCTGTATTGCCGGTTGCTCTGGTGACCTTGCACGGTCTTTGTGTTCTTCCTTCTCCTCTGCTAGCCTATGTATGAACTCTTCGTGTCTTTGTTTCTCCATAGCCCTCAGCTCAGGGAGTTTCCCAACATCCTCTCCCCCCTCCTGCCCTCTTGGTGACTTGGCCGCATTCTGAACCTGCTAAGTTTGTACAGCCACAGAGCCTACTTTGTTTCTTTTCCATCTTGTTGTCAAGTCTAACTTTCATCCACTGTTTTGAAAATGACTGCTTTGCGTCAGCTCACGTTTTAGTTTTGAACGGAATGGAAGGCATACGCAATACTGGACTGTCCATCCTGGCTTTTGGAAAAAGTCCAAGGTAAAT